CCCCCCAGGGACTGGGGTCACTTCCAAAGTGACATGTCTCTTAGAACGACCTGGGGTGTAGTGGTTAGAGCAGGGGGGGTGCTAGGCCTGGGTGCTAGGCCCAGCTCTGGGAGGGGAGTGGGGTGTAGTGCTTAGAGTGGGGGGGCTGGGAGCCAGGACTCCTGGGTTCTATCCCCAGATTTGGGAGGGGAGTGAGGTGTAGTGGTTAGAGCGGGTGGGGGCTGGGAGCCAGGACTCCTTGGTTCTATCCCCAGCTCTGGGAGGGGAGTGGGGTGTAGTGGTTAGAGCAGGGGGCTGCTGGGAGACAGGACTCCTGGGTTCTATCCCCAGCTCTGGGAAGGGAGCGAGGTGTAGTCGTTTAAAGAAGCAGGGGCTGGGAGCCAGGACTCCTGGGTTCGTTTGTCAGTTCTGCCCCGACTCGCTGTGCGTCCTTAGGTGACTCTCTTCCTCTCGCTCTGCCTCAGTTTCCCCAGCTGACGAATGGGGCCGTGGGGTGGCTCCGTGGGAGGGAGTGGCGCTGGAGCTGGGCAGGGCAGGGGCAGCCTGCCTCACGCAGAGGGGGCTGGCCGGGGTCCGCAGTAGGGAGGTCAGAGGGCTGGCAGGCAGGAGCAGACGCACCCAGCCAGCAGCCCAGGGCCAGGGCAGGCCCAGGGGACTGGAGAGATGGTCCCCTGATGGCAGGCGGGGGCCGAGCCACACAGCCTGGCTCTGGGTGGGAAGGGGCCCGTGGGCCTGGGGTGCTGGCACCCAGGCGTCCCCAGCTCTGGTGTGAGACCTCCCAGGGAGGAGGGCTGACGGGCACTCCCGCGGTGCTGGCCGGGGGGTGACGGGGATGGCGGGCGGGGGCAGCGGGGCGAGCACCCGGCCTCGCTCAGGACGGCTCCCCCGGGTCCTGGCCGGGCACCGCCAGCCCAAAGCCGCCGGTACAAAGGAGCAGGTATCCCGCCTTGGTGATGCAGGGCCTAGGTACCTGCGAGGGAAACGCACCGTCAGCAAGGGCACCCCCTAGTGGGCAGAGGGGGCTCATGGGCCGAGGGCTGCTCAGCGGCTCCCCCCCCGACTCATTATTCCCACTCCCCACCCCTCTGAGCCAGCCGGTCCCCGCCATGGGGCCAGATCAGAGCCAGCACCCCTAGAGGGGAAAAGCCCAATGTCCCATATTCCCTGCAGCCCCAAGCCAGCCGGTCCGCACCATGGGGCTAGCTGGGAGCTGGTGCCCCCTAGACGGGCCCTCGCCCGCTCCCCACAATGTGGCATGTTCACTATAAACACCCGCCCCACAGAGGCCGAGCAGGGCTGTCGGCGGGTGCCCCCTGGGGCCTGCTGGCGGGAGGCCTGGGGGGCCCGGATGGAGGGGGGGGTCACACTGGAGGGGGCTGGAGCTCATGTGGGAGAAGCATGGGGTGACACATGGGGTTAGTCGGAGGGGGCAGGAAAGCACCTTAAGCCAAAGGTTAAGCAGGTGGGGACCCGGGGGGCAAGCGGGGGTCAGATTGCAGCTGCCACCAGCACAAGTTGGCTTTAAACCAAACCCCAGGCTGAGCCCCAAAGGTGGAGCCGGGCAGGGTGGGGGCAGGGCAGGCACAGAGCCAGGCACAGAGAGCTGGGCACAGAGCTGGGCACAAAGCGGGACGGGGCACAGAGCCGGGCAGGTGAGGAATCAGGCAGGGGGCAGGGCGGGCGAGGAGCCGGGCGGGCGAGGAGCCGGGCGGGGGCAGGGCGGGCGAGGGGGCGGGGGGGGGGGGGGCCGGGGCGGGGGCAGGGCGGGTGAGGAGCCAGGCGGGCGAGCAGTGGGGGCCGACGTACCCTAGAAAAGAGCAGCAAGTGGCGGTACAGAGGTACCACAAGCGGGTATTCACAGCGTCGCGGTGCCATGGTGCCGCCTTGCTGGAAGGAGAAAGCAGAGATGCCCGATCAGCAGAGCCGGCCGGGAGGGGGGCACTGGGGCTGGACCCAGGCCAAACCTCCTCCCAGACCTGCCCCGGCAGGGGGAATCGGACTGGGCCCTGCTCTCCACCCCAGCCCTGGCACAAGCGGGCAGAGCTCCCCGACCTGCCCACAGACGTGAACCACGTACACCCCCCTGGTGTGGGGCCCCGAGTGACACAGTTGGGTTGTAGCCTGGTGACCAGCCCCGGTGCTAAGCCCCCGCTCCCCCCTCCAGACCGTGCCCCCAGGCCAGGCTTACATCAGCGGGGTGCTCCGTGCGGCATGGCCAGGGGGCAGCGCAGCCGGGGGGCCGCCCCACAGCAGCTGCAAGGAAAAGAGAGAGGTGGGACCGTGCGCGGCCCGAGGAGGCCAGCCATGCAGGGGTCACCCCCCCCGGGCAGACGGGCCCCCACCACCCAGCCGTGCCCACTGCTCAGCCCCGGTGCCTGCCATGCAGAGCCACGGCCCCTGCCGAGCTTTGTGGGCACCAGAGCCCCCGCCCCAGCATGCACAGACCCCTGTCCCGCAGGCAGGCTCAGCCCTAGGTGAACCGAGGCCCCCCACCCATGCGGGCACCAGGGGTGGCACGTCAGCTCCCCAGCTCAGGAACGGGTCATTCTGGCCAGGCACGGGGGCCGGGGAAGGGCATTGGTCGGGAGCGTGTGTGTAACCTGCCCCACGCGGGAACTCGGCTTCCCTGGCTGTGCCCAGGGCTCTGGGGCCAATTCCCGGCTCACCCCCATGGCTGCAGGGGGCAAAGCCCAGGCTAGCGCCGGGACAGATGGACGTCACCAGCCTGGAATGGTCCCTGCCCCCCGTCCCGCCAAATTAATTACGGTCCTGCCCATCCCTGGTCCCTTCCGTCAGCCTCGAAACCCCCAGCCCCCCATAACCCCCAGAGGTCGGGCTGCTTACAGCGGGATCCCCCAGCTGGCACGGAGATGTGGCCGCCTCTGCGGAGGGACATGGCAGCCATTTAACAGCCACACAAGGGTGGGCACAGGGAGCCTGTCACAGGCCGATTTCCCCTGGCCCGGGGCTGGGGCCCAGAGGGGGCAGAGCAGGGGGGGAAGGGGGTGGGACAGGGCAGGGAGGCAGGGGACGGGTTAGTGGGGGTAAGGAGGGTAGGGGTCCTGGGGCAGGGCCTGGAGGGGGCAGGGGAGGCAGGGGGATGGGGCAGGGCACAAGGGGGCAGGGGGCAGGGTGGGGCAGGAGGGGCAGGGGCCAGGGCATGAGGGGGCAGAGGGTAGAGCAGGGGGCTAAGGGGAGTAGGAGGCCCAGGGCAGGGCCCGGAGGGGGCAGAGGAGAGCAGGAGGGCGGGGCAGGGGGCAGGCGGGGGAGGGGGCAGGG